CATCGTGGTGATGACGGAGGAACCGGAAGTGAGTCCCGCGTACCTGATCAGCGAGGCCATGCGGCGCAGCCGGATGTCGCTGTATTGCTAAACGCGGCACGTGAGCGAATGGATGCATATTGAGTTCAGTGCATTCGGAGCATTTGGAAAATTGGAGAAGTACATGCAACTGAAGGAAACATGCGTTTGTGCCTCGTGCATGGAGTTCAGCTTGAGTTTTAATGCGTTAAACCATCGGCTGCTTGGATTGTTTTGTGTCAAGTATGCAATAATAATGCTTTCAGACGAAAAACAGCCATGCTTTGCTGAAATGTCTTTGTACTTGTGACATGTTTGTAGTTAGTGCAAAAAACAGACATGCAATCCTGCTTTCAGTTTGACTTCGGTTTGCAGGATTTTTTCAGCGTCGTCTTTCTGTGAAACCCAGGCAAGGTCGTCTGCCGATGCAGCATCCGTCAGCACGTGTTTAATGCAAACACGGACTCCTGCGTCAAACCATGCCTGCAATGCATGAAATCTCCACTCGCACTGCAAACTACAGGATTTTGCTGTGTGCCATGATGTCGATCTGGACAAACACAAAGAGTATCAGGTGTTTCTGCTTTGTTTGTACCGATATATTTAAAATCCCGATGTTTGTGCATGTTTTAACTGGTATCATGATTGTTATCGCTGTAAGTGTGGCTTTACGGTCATTCGTTTTCCGCCTGTAAGATTTTGAATTGTAAATCTGCCAAATATGAAATGGCATACATCACGTCATGTTAACTGTCAGTGGTTCTCAACTGGTTTTGCTTCAGGATCTGGATTTTACATTTGACATTCTGTGGTGACCCAAAAGTAAATCTCCTTCAAATCAAACGCTGAAATGCTATTATACGCTACAGGTCAAAAGTTTGGAATATGCTTTTGGTTTTCATGCTTATAAGAAGAACTATTATTAATAATTGAACACCAATAATAATAATATCAGAATGATTTCTGAAAGATCATGTGTGACACTGAAGACTGGAGTAATGATGCTGAAAATTCAGCT